TTTTTTGATGAGGAAACCAAGAGGAGAGGTAATGGAGTCGTGAGGGTTAGTGGAAGAGCCAGGCTCAGAAAGCCTGTTTCCAGGCCTCCCATTAGCATCCAAGCCAGCAGGCTGTGCTGTTCCTTTTGTCCCAGTCCCCAGGTGTCCTCAGATGGGGAGGACACATGAATCAGTTAGCTCTCCCCTCTTGATTGAAGGACACTTTTTTTTAACCTTTCATCCCTATTTGGCAGTGACGGGCATGCCTATGGGAATTTAGGCCACCTTTCCCCTCCCATTAAATAACCAGCCCCTCTCGGATTCGGAGCCCTAAGTATTTCTGGCCTGCCTTTTTAACCTATTACATACTGTTTACTCATCTTCTCATGCATTAAGAAGATATTCCCCAGACCAAGCCTGGCACCTAGTTCTCTGACTTCTTCTAAACGCACCACTGCCTCCAGACGTTCAACCATTTGTCGTTTCCCTGGGCCCTGCAGATGGTGTGTGGTCTCCTACCTATTGTCATTACGTGCTGGAAAATGCCGCGGTGTAGTATAACTTAAATTAATCGTGGACATGAAATTTCCCAAAGGTCCCCAATTGAATAGCTCTCTTAAGCCCCATGGGTTGACCACGTCGTGTACCCATCGTTCAGGAACTTCATGTCAATATCTGTAAAAGACCATTGAATTTACTCTGTGGGGATTGATCATGCGAAGCCACCCTGATTCTACTCACCCCTCCATTTCCCTCAGCACTGCAGTTTCCCTTGCATCCCACAATCTGGGATGGTGCCCCTTTTTATTAGAACAATTATTGGTAATGCCTCCCAATTACCCCGAATAAAATTCATAGATAATATGACATACCTGTATACGTAAATTAAAAAAAAAATCCATATGCCTAAACTGTATTAAGAGAAATAAAGGAAAAGTTAATTATAATACAATATCACGTATTCCAGTATGTAATTGTTTGGGCACGACGACAGAGAAAACAGAAGGAAGGAGTCACCTGTACATAGAATCACTGAGAATGTAACAGCTACAAATACCCACAAGATACAGGTGTGTTGTGTGGGTGACTCAAATACCAGGAGAGGTGACGCTGGGGCTTTTTCCCAGCTGGTGGACCACTCTTGGTAAAGTTCCAAACACACAGTACAGTATCCCCTCGACTTGCACTCCGGTGGCATTCCTGGATGAGTCAGTATATGTTAAAACCATGCAAAAATCCTCTGTTTATTTCAGAAAGGGAGTTTGGTTCTAGATGCCGATAATTATGAATGGGCTTTTCACCTCTGTGAATGCCTAGTGGAATGTTCTAAAGTTATGTGTGTGGGGGGGTTCTTTTGTGGGTTGTTGTGGGAACTGCAGGGCGTCTGGCATTCCAGGTCCCCACTAATAAGTACCTGTGGTACTCCCCACCCACCATGATGCTGACAGAAGGCCCTTACCCCCGCCATCCCAGGGGTGGCCCCATTGAGAACAACTGGTCTGGAAGAAGGACCAGGACCAGGAACTGGGAGATCTGTGTTCTGGGTCTGGGCCACAGCACCTTAGTACTTGTATGACCTTAACTCTGGCTACCTGGGTCTCCTCTCTGTAAAGGGATTATTATTATTATTTTATTTATTATTTTTTTGTGGTACGTGGGCCTCTCACTGTTGTGGCCTCTCCCGTTGCGGAGCACAGGCTCCGGACGCGCAGGCTCAGCGGCCATGGCTCACGGGCCCAGCCGCTCCGCGGCATGTGGGATCTTCCCGGACCGGGGCACGGACCCGTGTCCTCTGCATCGGCAGGCGGACTCTCAACCACTGCGCCACCAGGGAAGCCCAGTCCTGCTTTCTTAATAGCTCTGGAGTCTTCGCTGATTTGAGGTGGCTGCTTGACCCTTGTTGGCATTTAGGATTGTGACCTCTACTTACTGTTTGGCTGGATTAAGATCTTTAGAGACTCTCAGCACTGACAGGCTTAGGGTCCCCCAGGTAATTAAAAATAAGTTAATATAATTCTAAATTATAATATAAAACCATGTACTTAGAAACAACAACATTTATTTGTGCGCTGAAGCCACAGTAGCTTCTTTCTGATTCTCACTCATTTTCTCTTCTTTAGAATAACTTCCTCTGGTGTCCCGTTGTGGCTGGTGCCCTCAGTGTGTGTCTAGTGGGCCAATCCAGGATCACTTAGAATGTCAGCCACCTGTGGCCCGAGCTTGGCCCTTTGCCTCTTGGGTCTTTGCGTGTACCTGGTGGCATGACATAGATACTGGGTAATTGTTTAAGGAACGTGTGAAGGAATGCGTGAATAATGAGATAAACTTGAAGTAAGTTCATTTAAGTAAAAGGCACTGTCAGAATGGAGGCTCTTATTATTTGTAGGCTTCTGCTATTTGACGCTACAGTAGAATTTCCACTGTTGTGCTTCAGCTTTCATACTCCAACCCACTTAGAATTGAGTAGTCTGTGCATAAAAGATGCATATAAGGATTTCTGAATTAATAAATAAATGAAGTTGCGCGATGAGCTGGTTTGCCCGATTCCCTTTCCTGCAGTGAGGCTGCTTAAAGAGACTCCATCAGCTGCTCCTTATTTAACGAGGTGCATTATTTAAAGTGGCTACCCCTCCTCATAGTACCTGGGGAGGGGGGCTGTGCTTGTGTGTGGGGAGGGGAGGGCAGGGGGGTTTACTCTGGAGCTAGGTGGTGGTGATAGTGGTGGGGTGTGGGAAACAGAGCATCTACCCTAGAAAGCCTGCATGAGATTTCAGAAGGGATGAACGTGGTCTAAAGGCCTAAAGTCAGGCAGAATGAATAGGACTAACCACAAATTTGCGGGGGGTGGGGTGGGGGTGGGGGTGGAAATGAAATACCATGAAACACCTAGAAGGCTGTGGCTTAAAAAATATAACCTGACTCGTTAGTATGGGCTTGTGGACAAAACAGGTGTCAGAACATCTCCAGAAAATATTAACTACATATAAGAATAGATCCAAAAGGTTAACCAGTTCTGTCCTGTGGTACTGTTAGGGCGGCCTCCTGGAAGATTGCTGATCTTGGGTAGAGGAAGGAGTAAAGAGGTGGAGAAGTAAGAAAAGGGGAGGGCCCCATTGGAGAGGAAATGTGTCTATGAGGGACATTTTGACAGGGCTGGAATTTTGGGGCTGGTGTAGACATGTGAGGACAAATGTCCTCCCTGGATTCACCCTCCATGTCTGCTCCACCCCACCCCACCCTGTCTAATGGAAGGGACCCCTTTGTTGTTGTTTTTTTCTCCAAACTTTTTGTTTTAAGTCCTTATTGAATTTGTTACAATATTACTTCTGTTTTATGTTTTGTTTTTTTGGCCACGAGGCATGTGAGATCTTAGCTCCCCAACCAGGGATCAAACCACACCCACTGCATTGGAAGACAAAAAGTCCCAACCACTGGACCGCCAGGGAAGTCCCTCTCCAAACTTTTTATTTGGAAGTAATTTCAAACTTACAGAAAAGTTGCCAGAATAGTACAGAACACGCATATACTCTTTATCCAGATCCAGTTTTTTTTAACATTTTGCCTCATTTGCTTTATCATTTATGTTTTCTCTCTCTCCCTCTTTCTCCCTCTTTTTCCTGAACCTTTTTTTTTTTTTTAATTTATTTATTTTTGACTGCGTTGGGACTTCGTTGCTGCACGTGGGCTTTCTCTAGTTGCGGCGAGTGGGGGCTACTCTTCGTTGTGGAGCGCAGGCTTCTCATTGCGGTGGCTTCTCTTGTTGTGGAGCACGGGCTCTAGGCATGTGGGCTCAGTAGTTGTGGCACTCAGGCTCAGTAGTTGTGGCTCTCGGACTCTAGAGCGCAGGCTCAGTAGTTGTGGCTCTCGGGCTTAGCTGCTCCATGGCATGTGGGATCTTCCCGGACCGGGGCTCGAACCCATGTCCCCTGCATTGGCAGGTGGATTCTCAACCACTGCACCACCAGGGAGGTCCTTTCCTGAACCTTTTTAGAGTAAGTTGCCTACATCACGGCCCTTTCTCTCTGGATATTTCAGTGTGGATTCCTAAGAATATTGTTTCACAGAACCTTCAGTAAATTGAACTTTGATATGATACTTTTATCTAATCTGCTGGTTGTCTTACAGTTTTGTTGATTGACTTAATAACGTCCTTTACAGCATTTATTTCCTCTCCAGTCCAGAATCCAGCACTGCATTTAGTTGTTATGTCTCTTTAGTCTTTTCATCCAGAACAGTTCCTCAGCCTTTCTTTGTCTTTCATGACATTGACATTTTTAAGAATATAGCCGCCTCCTCCTCCCCCTTTAAAAAAAATAGAATGTTCTTCCTTTTGGATTTCTCTGCTGTTGCCTCACATTTAGACCGAGTTATACCCTCCTGGCTAGCATACACATGAGTGATGTTGTATCTTTTTCATCGTATTACATCCAGAGGCACCGGATGTCCATTCGCCCCTTACGTGTGATGTTAAGTTGGATCACTTCGTCAAGGTGTACGATTTCTTCACTGTGCATTTACTGATTTTTCCTTGCTACTAATAAGCAATCTGTGGGGAGACAACCTAAGACCATATAAATGTCTTACTCCTTATCCACATTTTGCCCCGAGATTTACCAGTCATCCACCCTGGGTTTGCAGGTATTTCTGGATCCCAGGCAAGGCATGGGAGGTCAAGCTATCTGCGACCAGGTGACCCACTTTCGAGGGCATCACCCACGTGGGAGGACCTTGCTGTGCTGTGCCCAGCCCTGTTGAGAAACCACATTTCCACAATAGTTTTCCTCTTTCTACTCCCACCAGGATCAGAAGCTAATTCGTCGTTCATTCAACTGACACATAAGAATGTTCTTGCGAAAGCTTCTCAGCTTTATTTGGGCACAGTGGGGTATGGAACGAAAGCTAGTTCCCTCTCGGTGTCTTTAAGGAGCCTACCATTGAGTTGGGGAGACAAGACTTGGTCACTGAAAGGTAAAGGACATGTAAGTTGTCAGTACTGTGACCCCACAGGGCAGCTCAGTGAGAGCTGTCCTATGACCCTGGAGAATTAAGTGCCCTTAGGAGTTTGGGGGAGGAGGGATCAGAGTGGGTTAGGTACGATGAAGGGACATTTCATTAACAAGGGTAATCTTTGGGCCTTAAAGGACAGGCAAATCTGGGTAAACAGCGATAGATAAGGGCATTCCAGGAGGGGAACAGTGTGCACAGAGACACGGAGACGGGAGCATGGATGGAGAAATTGGGGGACAGCAAGTTATGTACCAGTCTGGATGGGGCCAAGGGTTGGTGTAGGGGGCAGGATCTACCCCCTTACTGAGCACCTACCTCGCGCCAGGCATTTTAAAAAATAACTTTCCCGATTCTGAAAGTAACACGTTTGATATAGGAAGTTTAGAAAAATAGTTTTTCTATATAAAGAAACATTTTAATGAAGTTGCTCTATTCTTTCATCCAGAGATAAGTGGTTAACCATGGTGTATTTCCGTCATTTCTGAGATCTTTATCATTCTTCTGGCAACAGCTTTGTTTGGGTTCATAGATTCAGTAGCCCCTCTTATCCCTCGGAGGATATTAATCATACTTTGAAAAACATTTCATTCTGGTGACTTTATTGATTTTGTTTTCCAGCTAGAACTTCTGTTCTCTAATTCGGTGCTTCTTTGGTTGCTTTGGTTTTTGTCAAACGTTTGGTAAGTCTTGCTTGTGTTTCTTCTCCCTTTGTATTTTCAGGGTTTTCAGTCACCTCTGTGTGAAACCTGATTCCGTGCTCTAGAGCCAGCTGCCCCTGGTTGTGGACAGGAGGGTGGGATGTGTCTGCTGGGAATGCAGGAGCCGTCTACGTGTCCCCTTGCCTCCCTACCCTAACGTCCCGGCAGGAGCCTGGGTGGAGAGGTGGGGCAGGAGCCCGCTTGCCTGGCTCCTCCAAAGCCTATGACCAACCACTCAGGGCCTCTCCTGGACCCCTAATCTCTCCAAACTTGGACCCTGCAGAGCCACTCCTCTGACTGAGTGTAGAATCCTCAGCCACACTGCTGGGGTTCAAATCCTAGCCCTGGCACTTACTAGCACTATGACCTTGGGAAAGCTGTGTAACTCTGGGTCTTATCTGTAAAGCAGGGAAAATAATAGTCTGTATTTCAAAGGATTTTTGTGAAGGTTAAATGAGATAATATGTGCTTAGAACAGCGTCTGGCACATATATGTGCTGTATGAGTGTCATTATTATTTTTATTCCATGGTTTTATTTTGGGGGGTTGTGGTTTCTGTATCTGTTTATTCTCATTTGCTTCCATCTTCAGGGAGCCCATATAATTGCCTCGTTTTCTGGTGCTGTAATGGATTTATTCTTCTTAGAAAATGTCTTTTCTGTCATTTTCTAAGACTTGGGGGATTCAGGCATTCGCCCCTGGTCTGCCGTCTTGATATAGTCATACATTTCCTTCAAGTTCTTTTTCTGTGAGCCTGTATGAGTGTGTTATTGTTATCTGTAATACATACATGAAGGCATCCGTTGCCATCTGTGTCCACTCACCCAGGAGCCTGGCCCAGGGCAGGACTCGCCACCTGGTCTAGGTTCCCGGATGCTGACTCTGTCCTGTGCAGGCCTGGGAGGTGATGAGTTCTCTTCTCGGCCTTCCTCAGGCTGGTCTGAGGCGTCCTGATGAATGTAATGGGTCCTCTGCTTCCTTCGTCAAAAGGAATGTTAATTGTTTTCAGCAGTCTAATTACGTGCCTAATGAGAGCCTGACTGAGATAACATTCCCTTTAATTACTCTTGCCTAAGTGCTGTTTGGAGCCATATTTGAGAGTGTTGCAAGGCTCGGTACTTTCACAGTAGATGAAGCTGTCTGGCGAGAGGCTGAGTGAGGGGCCAGGGTTGCTGGGCTTAAGGCCCACGGTGGAAGGGCCTGCTGCAGTCAGTGCCCAGCCCGGTGTATGCTGGCCTTTCCTCTGGGCCATTACTTAAAGGAAAGGGACAGTCAGATTGGGTCATGTATGGAGCAAACAGCACCCATCACGGCTCCCCCAGAACAACTCATTTCTCAGTCTTCCCCCCAACCCACCTGCCCTTCAAGCTCCTCTTGGCCAGGCCCCTCGCTCTTGGAGGACCTGCCCCCGTGCCTTTCCCTCCATTCAACACTTGGATTTTGAGTCCCTACCGTATGCCAAGTTTTATCCAGGACATGAGGATGCAAAGGTAAGGAACTCGTGGTCCAGATGGCTTTCTAAAACAAAAAATTTGATCATGCCCTTCTCCTCTTTGGCCAGGAGAAATGCTACATGTCTGACCCCTACCCCCTTCCAGGGTTTATCTTCTGTACTTCCTTTGGTGGCCTTCCTTTTGTTCTGATGTGGTGTCTTTCAATAACCGGGCCTTCATGGGCAGACCCTTGGAAGGCAGCTCTCCCAAGCCCCTGGGTGGGCTTGAGTAGGCTGGAAGGGACAGCTTACATGAGATTGTCTGCCCTGAGAAAAAAGGGCAGCTCTAGGTGGCCCACTGCCATAGGTAAATTAAGTCCCCTAATTCCTGTCTGCACATCTGCACCTCCCATGAATGGTGTAGCAGGGGGAAAGTGCTGATGAAACCCTTGGCCCTCCCATTTTCTAGCTGTCATTTAACCTCTGAGCTTCCCTTGCCTCCTGTCAGTCGGAGTTAATGCCTGCTTCATGGGCTCATGGAGGGGACTCATGAGATGACCTGTGTGACACCTGCCTGGCACATAGAGGGTACTCAATAAATGGTTTGGAGTTTTTTAAATACCCCAAGCAGCACCCCCTACACTGAGTTATAGCCAGAGACTCAGGGGCTGGCCTCATTTTACCAATGGCCAGAGCCCTCTCCTGGCCTCTTGGATAAAAGTCACTCTTCAGACAGTAGACAGTGACTTTCTTGGAACAAGGGTTCATCCTCCCCCATCTCACAATGGCAGCCTTGGTTAACTAGGCTTGAGGGAGAGAATGAGGGCAGTGGTGTCTGTTCAGAAAAAAAAGAGGATTTCCAAGAGCAAGGAAGCTCAGCTCAGCTTTAGGTCTGCGTGTTTCGCAGCCTTCTCATCACCCTTGGTAAGTTCTAGAGCAATGTCCAGTGGGACTTTCTGTGATGATGGAAATGTTCTACATCCGCACTGTCCAGTATGGTAGACACTTGCCACGTGTAGCTATTGAGCACTTTAAATGTGGCTAGTGAGACTAAGGAACTGACTTTTTTTATCTTATTCATTTTTAAAGTTAAATTTTAAAGAGTCACATGTAGCTAGTGGCTATCAAACTGGCTAGTGCAGTTCTGCAGTTTTCAGAAAAATATCTCTTTGTGCACTTCTTGATCTTGGCTTGGGCCTCGTCTCTAGGCTACTAGTTTTCACATGTCCTGTTTGCAGAAGTCGAGGTGTGCTAGTTGCTGGCAAGGACCAGGTAAGTCAAGGGGAACTGACAAAATCAGTGACTGGGAGGGTGATTTGGAGCCCCCAGAGCTATAGCCATCCTGCTGAGATTCACCCACCATGCCAGGCATCTGACTTTCTTATTTGAGATTCTGCCCCTTACTGTCCGCAAAGAGCAGAGCCACTGGTTTTCACAGCAGCAGAGGTGGGTAGGTGGTGCTCAGATACATGACTCTCGTGCCAGCTAGGTGTGTTCCAGATGAGGAGGAATCGTCTGTGCTAGTTAGAATTTTCTTGATTGTAAGTGACAGAAAATCCAACAAACTACCCGGAGTAAAAAGGAATATTTACCTTCTTGTTAAGGTAAAACACCCAGGCTAGAGAGGACCTGGTGAAGTTACTTAAATTCTTTTGATCAGAAACAGGTGGAAATTCCAGGCCATGAGTCAGAGGATTTCACCTTCCCTTCGTTTGTTAATAAAATTGCCAAGGAACAGCTGATGAGGGATCCACGGTTTCCAGCCCCCGCCTGCAAGAAGAGTCTTCAGTTGACTGGCTACATTTATTTGGCGGTTGGGCACTTTGCCCTGACCTAGTTGGCCCTGTAGGGATCACCAGATGACCCTTGCGATAAGGGGCAGGGAATGTCTGACCCCTAATTACACAAACTTTAGCTTCTCTGGCCTGGCTATTTCTCAAACTTGTTTAGCTTGTTTCCCTTACTGTTCCCCCTGCCTGGAATGCTTTTCCCAAAGCTCTTTGCAAAGCTTCTTTGTGTCTTTCTGATGTAGGCCCTGATGCTAGATCCTTAGAGAAGTTTAAGACTCGCCCTCCAGCACCTAATCTCTTTCTCTCCCCTACCAGGCCTTTGCCCTCCTTCGTGGCCTGTTACCAGACATTACAGTATGTGCTGGCTGGCTTACTTATTGTCTGTCTCCCCACAGAACTGTGAGCACCAAGGGGGCAGGAGCCTTGTCTTGTTCACACGGGGTACAGTGCCTGGCCTGCACCAGGTACTCAGTCAATATTTGCTGGAATACAACACCTCGTATAAACAAACCAGCCTCCACAGGACTTCTGGGACTGGGTCCCCTGGCTGTTTAGAAATCTCTGGGGGTGGCTTGGCTGTAGCAAGCTGTGAAAAGTAGGGCATTGGGAGTCGCGCTGTTGAGATGCTCCAGATTTGTCCTCCGAAAGACCAACTGGGCTTCTTTCTGCCTCCACCGGGGAGGCAATGAAGGGGCAGGGTCCCCATTGCTCCAAAGGCATGGTGCGGTGGATTCACCTGTGGGACATCCGAAGGATGTGGGCAGTCATAGGGAGAAAGCAGATACATAAATTCCCGGTCACTTTGTGGGTGAGGCTGTGAGTCCACTGCCTGTTCCTGTCCAGCTGACAGAAGGAGCCTTGCTGGTCTCACGTGATGAGGATTCTGGGGCCCCTCAGCTGCCGCCTGATGGGATCTGCATAGGGGACTATTGACGAAGGGGGGGTGAGGCGGCTCTTTACAGTAACACATGCCTTGCTGGGATGGCAGCCAGGCAGCTAATTAGAGAGCCCAGCAGCTGTCCAGCCTTTCAGGCAGTGAGCAGCAGCTACACAGTGCCAGGGGGTGGGATGGGAGGGAAAGGAAAGGAGCACGGGGCCAGAGGCCACCCTCTAAGGTGTAGGGGGTGGGTGGTCAGGGTTGGTTCCAGGGGGGGACATTGGGAGGGGTGTGTCAGGTGGAGTGGGCTGCATGGGGAGGAGGAAGGAAGAAGAGGAGGTTGTCAGGACAGGGTAGCCTGCAGGTGAGACAGAAGACAGGGTGATGAGATGTCCAGCAGGCAGGGTAACCTAGATTCCAAGCCCAGAGTGAGGGGCATGGAATGGAAGGACATGGCCAAGTGGAGGGAAGGGGGGGTCCATCCCCTATCTACACCCTTTCTTCCGCATGCCAGCCAGGCCCCAGGGCCTGGGTCTCCTTGCTCCCAAGGGGGAGCTGACCAGACACAGCCTTTCCCCTGGTGGGGGGGGGGGTTGGCATTCCCATTGCGTTTGTAGCTGAGCACGGTCACTCCTTGGTTTGGGAAGTTGCCAATCCACTTGTGTTCAGGGCTGGTCTTACTACAGGACAAGTAGAAGCAGTTGTTCTGGGTCAAAAGGGAGGAACTGGGGAGGATTTGAAAAACCAGAGGGCTCCCCAATGGGTCTCTGGGGCATCTTCTCTTTACTCTATGGGCACCTGGGTGGGGTGATTTGGGGAAGAGGAGAACAGGAGAGAAAAAGGGATAGTGTTTGCCTGCCACTTCCTGGCTTCACTCTTAGGTTCCAGGCCATGGAGAAGGGTGGTGGATGGGGGTAGATTTGATTTTGAGGTTCCGGTCAGAGAAGCAGAGATTCAATCCTGCAAGCCCAGCTTACCTTAAATAGTTATAGGGGAGGAGAGAGAATGATGCAGAGGGAATTTCCTGCCAGCAGCTGCTGGTTAAACCTCTTTGGGAAATGAATCCTACATATATGGAAACTGGACGCTTCTTTGGAGAGTGCCAGCACATTGTAGAAATAACAGAATAGGCACTGTTATTCTCTGACCTGAACCTGAGCTTGGCTCCTTGCCCATATGAAAGCCTGCGGTGTCTCCCGGGATGCCTAGGACGCTCTGTTCCTGCCCCATCCCTCCTCATGTGACATGTCTTCTGTACTGTCCAGACCCAAGGCACTCACCCCATCTATCCTCACCTCTCAGCCTGGGTGATGGCTCTTGGAGGTGGGAGAAAGGATAGCGAGGACCCTCCTTTCTTCCCTGGTCTCCAGAGACAGCCCTGCCCATTGTAAACCAACGTTTATGGTGCTTTGTGGGAGAGAACCCTTCCATGATGGTGGCCTAAAAATTAGAGAAGAACGCCAGACATCATTATGTTTGGTTAATAACACTGGATGTTGCAATCACCCAGTAATTTAGTTGGATCCTTCTCTACCTTGCTTGTCCCTGCATCCAACGGAAGTTTCATGGTCTCAAGGAATTCATCATGTGGAGGGGGAAACAGACACATAATCATTTTAAGATGGGGCAATATGTTTCAATAGGAGGCTGTTCAAAGTCCTGTGGGAACATCAGTGATGGAATACCTGGGGGGCTGTAGGAGGATGGCATCACAAAGGAATGAAGAGGAGGCAGGGTCTCAAAGGAGGAGTGGGTGTGGTGGGCTGCAGAGGAGGGCAGTTAGAGAGGGCTTGAAATTGCATGGTAGTCTCTGCCCCTTCAAGCTTCTGGGGCATCGGGACATGTTGAAGGAGAAGCTGGACGGACTTGGCTGTACATTTACAAATAAGCTGCTTACAGGATGGACTAAGTAGATTACACCGAATGAGGGATGAGTGCACGCAGATGTGTGCCTTGAGAATGAGATTGGGATGGAAAGCAGTTTGAAGGTATGCTATATGGCAAGAGGGGTGACTCTGGAGCCCGAGGACCAGGCTTTGAGTCAAATGTATGGATGTAGCCTAATCTCTTAATATCCTGAGGCTCAGTGTTTTCATCTTTAAAATGCAGCAGGGTTGGGGACAGGGTGGGGGTGGGGAGGTAGGGTAATTCCTGCCTTCCCTGCAGGAGTCTGGGGAGAATTATGAGAGGTCATATACTTGAGAAAGTACAAGTACTACCACATGTTAGTTGTATAAGGGCTCTTCACACATTCCTCTACTCCAAAAACTTCTGGTTCAGGTCATGCTGTCCTCAAGGGAGCCTCGTGCCCTCTACACCCTGGGACCTGGTCTAAGGGACCAGAGGGTGTCAGAGGGGTCTGGGGACAGCTTGTGCACTTGGAGGCAGAGGTGGGACCCCATCACCTCCTCGTCCAGCTCTTCCCCTGGGGGAAGAGCCTGCAGACCAGGAAGCAGGAGGTGTCCAGCATGAGGCTGGCCCCAGGAGGGAGCCTGTTCTGACTGCCGCGCTTCATCCGCCAGGGCGGCAGCCTAACCAGCCTCGGGCCCCCAGGGCTAGCCGTGGCGACCAGCGGGCTGTGCTGTCAGGATGTGGGCTTTGGTTTCTGTTTCTGTTTGGTTTTGACTAGTGCTGTTAATGCGGCCTGCTTAGGGCCCAGAGAAGGGGAAGTGCCCGTGGGGGGATCGAACTCCCCAGGCACAGGGTCATGGTGGTGCTGGAGATGGAGGGCGCGCTGGACATGCCCCTGATAGGTATGTTCCAGGGTGATCCCTGCCCATGGCCCCGGCAGGCTGGGAGAAGGGAGGGGTGGGGACAGGTGGGGCAGGGTTGGGGGCTCCTGTTTGTGGAGGAGCTGGGGAGGGACAGAGGCCAGGAGAGCACAGCAGCCCGCAGCACTTCACCCACTCTGTCCTTCACTTCTCTCAGTGCAGAGGCCCAGGGGAGAGACCCGGGGGTGCATGCCCTCCCTGCCTGCAAGCACAGGTGCACACAGTGAATTTCAGGTCCCCAAGCCCTGCACTTTCACTTCTCTTGGCTCCCCTGCTGCCTCGCAAGTTGTCACCTTCGGGAGCAAAGGCCCGAGTCACCCCTGCTCAGAGAGCCTGGGGGGTTGGGGGAGGGAGGAGGGTGGCCATGGGCATCAGCGCAGGGTGGTGCCTCTGTGGCCCACCCTGCTTGGTTGTCCACTGGGGGATGGGGGCAATTCCCTCCCCTGGTCACACACTATTCTCAGCTTCTGAGCAGCCGGTCCATCCCTCTGTAGGGCTGGGCTGGATCTGATCTCTGTCCCTGGGCTCGTGCAGAAGGTACAGTTTATCCAAGGGATTTTCAGGGAAGCTTCAGCACCTTCATATTAAAGAAAAAAAAATGTCGAAGTCTCTATCAGATGGTCAAGTCTTAGGGCTCTATTAAAAATATGTATGTGGCAAGGGGCATTATAAAGTCAGATTTATATCAGCTTATAGTCAATTACCGATGTTAATAGGAAGGGTCTCGACAATAATAATAAAATAATAAAATGAAATAAATATGAGGGCAGTGGGATTGCGGGTAGAGGTTTTTAGCACACATTTTGTTGGTGTGCTTGTTTTTGCACGTGCTTGGCTCCCCAAATGCTAAAACAAATGCTCTACATCGTCTGTCTTCCGTGAGGTTCTTGACTGCCCTTGAGAACAGATGTACCCACTACAGGGGGAAGGTGAGAGTGTAATTTGAAGCTAAATTGAGAATGGAGCTGGATTCTAAAATTATATCCCTGCTCAGATTTACAAGTGTGCACACACTTCACTCATGGCACAAGAAGCACCGAGTCCTAGCCCCCATGTGAACTGCCTGGGATCCATTCCAGGCTCTCATCTCCGGATTAACCAGACCTGGGCAAGCAGGATGGCAGAGAGGAGGTGGCAGGCTCCAGGAGAGGCCCCATGGCCTGGGTGTGATGAGTGTCAGGTGCTGAGCCTGGAGCCCGGAGCTGTGGTGTTTGCCTTGAGGCCGCCTCTCTGGCTGGCCTGGTGGCTCGGAGCTGGGGATGGTTTAAGCTAATGAACTCCTCCTCTTTAATTCCAGGGACAAATGGAAGCCACCCATCCACTAGCCGAGGATCAGCTGAGCCCTGGGGCTGATGCTTGCCCACACTGTTGAGAATGGCACCGAGGCCCAGCCAGGCACCGGGACAAAGGTTAACCCGGGACACTCCTGGACGGTGATCCTGATGTCTGTTCGGAGCCGCGCACTCAAGGGTGTGATAAGTGAGTATGTTACTGGCTCCCAGGGGATCCCTGGCCCTTCCTGCCTCAGCAGCATGTGCACAGGCCTGAAGGTTCCAGTTCTGAGCCTGCTTCCGGTCCAAGGGCCTGTCACAGGGCTATGGTCCTGGAATGGGAGGGGGTTTTCCAGCAGTTTCTTGCCGTGTCACATGCTAGAGCCATTGTATAGCCACATGGCCTCTAAGAACTGGGTCAGACCCAGATGGGCTGACATGAGTGATGTGAGACACCCAGCACTTAGGAGATGGCATCTTCCCCAATTCTCTTTCTTATCTGTATGCTCATGGGTGCTTTGGGCCCTGGGCTTCACCTCTGTGCAGTGGGAACTGGATCTCACCTAGGCTTCCAGACTCTGCCCAGAAGCCATGAGTGGTTTGTGTGGCCTTGGGTAGAGCATCCAGGGCACTGGATGGTGAAGGCTTTGTGGTGCCTTAGCTGCCATAAGCGTGGCCACCAGGGGGTCGAGAGGAGCAAGTTCTCTGCTGCTTCTGCCATGTTTCAGCCATATCTCCTCCTCAGTCCAGAGGAGCGGCATGTAGGGCGAGGGGCCCCCTGGCTGGGGAGTCTCACCTGTCCTCACATAGCCTTTCTTTCCAGCCTCGGCCTCTGGCTTTTCCTTGATGATGCTTTAAAAAAATGACAGTTGGCTGCTCTCCCAAGCCGCAGAGGCTGTCCGGCCTAAAGGCTGTTCTGTCTGAAGAGGGCAGACAGTCCCACTGTGGGACCGGGGGCCGGCAGGCAGAGAGCTCCCCGGGAAACCAGGGCAGGGAGCGCTGGTGGGTTTGTACTCGGACACGTTTTAGGAGCTGTTGGACTGGTCCATGGGAGCCCAGAGCCCTTAGCTTCTATGTAGGAGTTTGCAGAGAGGGAAAGGGTAAACCGGGTATTTCTCAGCTTTAGATAGATCTTGACTCCGCTGCTAGTTGAGAGTTTAAAACTCAAGGCTAGAATCTATTTTTCAGTCAACCGAGGCTTGCAAAATCAGTTTGTGATTGGAGGGTCTTTCAGGAAGTGTGTTACCGAGTTGATTTATAGCCGGGGTGGTGTGAGAGAGCCTGGACTGTGGGAGTGGGATGGGGGGTAGAGAGATGGTCGTGGGGGCCACTGTGGGAACGCGGTGACTCAGACGGAGACCTATTCCCCGCATTACACAGAATTCCCCAGAACAACCTACATCGTCAGCCTTAAAACAGGTGTACCCTTTTGTTCAGTGACACCACTTGTAGAATTGTTCATTAAGAAATCTTTCTTTAGGAAATAGCTCCAGCAAAGAAAAGGGCTGAATCCTCTTGTTACAGGCACAGGAGAGATGTTCTTGTGGTGTCATTGTCAGAGTAGAAATGGGAGACGGTTGCTCTCCCTTTGTTGAACACCTCGGTTGAGTAAATTCTAGATTTCCACTTGGTGGACCATTACACAGCCATTATAATAAGGAGAACATAGGAAATATGACACCTTGGAAAAATTGATTATGATGTAATGAGTGGAAGTGTCAGGTTACAGGATAAGTACATTATGGTAACTTGTAAAATAAACACATGAGAAGAGATCGCAAAGGGGAAATGATAATGGCTGCTAGTTTGCTGGAATTATGAATGCCTTTTCTTCCGATGATGCATGGATTTGTTTCTTTTAAAACTAAATTAAATCTCAATGAGTACACCGCATGCCACTAAAAGTGATTTTCTCTGAGATGTGGGATGATGGGGGACTTTTGCTTTCTATATCATTCCTTTCTGCAGTGTTTAAATTTCAACGGTGAGCAAATGTCACTTTTGCAATCAGGAAAAAGAAAGACATTTTAAAATGCTAGATATAAAAAAATTTTAAAGGCTATATTTCCTAAGAAAGAGGAGAAGAGAAAGGCTGAGCTCTTTAGCTCTTTATACCTGCTCTCATCAGTGTTTAAGGGCCTGCGCCTGTTTGGGCCCATTCATTCATTCATTCATCAATCCATTCATTCACAGGTATCAGTGGGTCTTACTGCCAGGCACTGTTCTAGGCACTAGTTACCCAGCAGTGAACAAGGCAGAGCCCTGCCCTTGTGGAACTTTCACTCTAATTGGGGGAGACAGACAATGAACAAGTAGCGAAATGTCGGAAAGTGAAAGCGCTAAGACTAAAATGGGATGATGTGGGTGACGGGGAGGCTATTTTGGATCAGAGATTCCTCTGAGGGGTGTTGGTTGAGCTGAGATCTGAATGACAACAGAGAGGCAGCCATGTAAAGTCTGGGAAGGGTCCTGCAGTCCCCACCTGCAGGCTGCCCTTTGCTGCCTGAGCCCTGGTGAGCCTCGGTGCCGGGCTGACTCCGTTCCCCAAGCCCACTTGCCCCCGCCGCACCTGCCAGCTGGGATTTGCTCAGCATCTGAGTCTGTCCGAAATCCTCCCCGGCCGGCTGCCCTGCACGGATCGGCTGCTTCTGCTACTCTGGCTGCTGTCGCTGCTGCAGGCACAGGGCTTCTCTGGGCAGCCTGCACGCTGGCCGCTGCTCTTGGCTGGCATCTCCGTGGCAGGGCTGGGGCGTCTGAGATTCCCGGCAGCATTGGGGCAGGCGGGCCATCGGGGAGACTCTGGGTAACGTGTGTCCTGGTGAGAGGTCTTTGAATGGCACGTGCCTTAAGGTCCAAAGGGGTGGCTGCTGCCACGGTCCTGTGAGGGTCAGCTGTGACCCTGGAGGATCTTCGTGTGGACGCTGCCAGAACGTGGCTTCGGAACAGAACTTGGCCCCTCAGAATAGACGGAGAGCCTTCAGGAGCTCTGACACCAGTTCTGGGCTTCGCTGATGATCTACCGAGAAGCTCACATCCTTCTTGCTTCCTGTTGTCTCTCCATATACCATCTCAGCCTTCCACAAGCAGAAACTCAGAAAACGGTACTGCCCTCAAAGGAGCCTGTAGTCAGCCTCAAGAACAGTGCAATGTGCTGACTGGGAGTGAAGGCTCTGGAGCTGAGTTCGAATTCCAGTTCTGCCTCGTGGAGCTGTAAGAACTTAGGCTAATTTTCTAGCCTTTCTCTGCCTCGAATTCCCCATCTGTGAAATGGGCTTGAAGATTATCTGAGTTAGTACATGGAAAGTACTGAGAAGAGTGCCTGATTATTACTGTGACTTGGGAAGTGGCAGGAGGACCAGCCCAGGGAGCTTTCCTGGGGGGGCGCCCACAGCAAGAGAGGGTGGAACTCTATGGCATTTGGGCGAGCCAGTGACCACCGGTATCTTCCCCCACTTGCTTCCTTTCTGGCCCTGAAGCAAGCCCATGTTTTCCTCCCCCTCAACCTGATGACCACAGGGGAGGCTCAGGACTGTTTCAGAACTTGCATCTGGCACCCAGAGGTAAGGGCGACCGCCCACCCCTCATTAATTCCACTACCCCACCAGGAGACTGCACTCAGGGTTGCTCAAGCTGTGCCCCCAATGCCTTGTCCTCAGAGACCCCTGGAAGGCCTGTGCATCTCCCCAGAGCAGTGGTATTAATTAACTGTAATGGTTTTGTTGCCTGGGGATGGGGAGTGAAATTTGGGAAGTAAATGAGGTGAAAGAGGAAGGCTTGCCCAGCCTGTCTGCATGGAAGGGGAATCCTGATTTTCTAGCAAGACGCTCCTCTGGACAAAAATTCCCAGAGTTGTCGTGTTGTTCCAGGAAGTTAAGATGCTACAAGATGGGGGGTTTTGGCAAAACCAAGAGCAATCATCCCATCCGGTTTTGCCTCCAGCCTGCCTTGGACTTTGACGGCATCGCTCCTCTCAACTGCTCACTCTGCACTCTGTCACCCTAGGGAATAGCTCAGCGGGTTCCAAGAGCGGCAGGTGAGATACTCCTAGGGAGCAGGGCTCTGAAAGCCAGCCCTCCCCCTCCCCCACCTGTCTCCTTGGAGGGGCAGTGCCGTGTCCTGATGACTCGCCTTGGGTTCTGGCCCTTTGCTGGGACTCCGTGTGCCTGGCTCTTTCATCACACATGAGGGCTCTTGTACTTGAGTGTTGTTCCCTAAAATCCCGCTTGAGAAGCCATCCACTGCTCTGCAGATTCTTTTCTCTGCTTTCAGTCTTGCCCACGCTCTCCTCTCTACTCCACCCTGAGTTTTCATTCCTGGGCTGTCCCATCTTTGTGTCATGGTCCTCAGGATGGTTATGTCTGTCACCAGGAGAAAGAAGCAACACCCCGTGAACTGCTGGTTCCTCTTGATGCAGGTGGACCCGGGGCTTCGATCCCAGGGCTGAACAAGGAGGTACTGGAAGGGTCTGGGGCAACGGGCTCAGGTTGGGGGAGGCCAGGCAGGGATGGAGGCTGTTGGGCCCAGCAGAGGGAGGGGAACCTGTCCTAGCTCAAAGTTCAGGCACAGCTCCGGTGAATATTAGAAGTGGGTTTGGGGAGTGGAGTTCTGAAAATCCACCCAGGCCAATGCCTGCCTTTAATTTTAGCGTCTGTCCCATCACAGTGTGAGCTGCCATCCCACCTGACGACACTGTCTCACGTCCCCGCCCCTGTCCTCACCCCCGCCTCCTGGCCCCCGCCAGCTCTTCCCCATTCATCTTCCGTGGACCAGTCCAGGTCTCCTCAGACACCACCTGACCTCGCCTAGGTATGCTTCCCCTCCACCTACCCGTGTTCCTCCAGGCACAGAGATTCTAAAACCAGAATCCAGGCCTCGGGCTCGCCCTGTTCTCTCTCCCCACACCCTCTCTTCTGTTCGGCACTTGCCCTCTCTCCCTTTGACAGCCACTCCTTTAATCTTGCTTCTGCTCCATAGGGTTTGGGCGTCCAACTCTTCCAAGTCACCTGCTCCGGGGGTGTGGGCGTGGCTGGAGCCTCTGATCTGTAACTGACTGGGAAACCATTCTTGGCCTCCCCCAAAAGATCAGACCAAGAGGCAAGGAGAGTAGGGTTTTAAAATCAGCATCAAGGAGGGGACTGGCCAGAGTGATGACCCCACCAGTTACATGAGGCTGCTGAAGTGCACATCTGAAGAAGTCCCTTCTCCGGA